GAACACCGAATCGAGCTTTTATCGAGTTTAATGTCGAGCTTGTTCATGAACTTCAAATGATGTTGTTCGCGAACATAAATGAGCCGAACGCATTAGTGTTCAAGTTTGATTATTTAAGAATCGAGTATTTAAAATATTGTTCAAGTTTGTTTGTTTAGTTAATTAAACAATCGCAAACGAGCTTTAATTGAACCGAACAAGGAGTAGCTCGTCGAATGTTTGGTTCGCTTGCAGCCCTAGTGTATAGGATATTTTTATGAATTTATTTTAATTTATCTAAATGTTGAAAATAAAATAAAATAATTTAAAAAATCTAGTAGTAGACGTCCCACCACGGTCGATGTCCATGCTAGCCTTTATCTTAATCTTCCATCTTTCGATTCGGTAATCCAAATCCAAGCAATAGAAGGAAAAAACGGATAGAGAAGGGAGATTGGTAGGCTTCAACTTAAGGAATGGCGTTGGCGACGGCTATACCTAACTTTTCCATACAAGGCCTGTCCAATTTACCTCCGCCCAAAACTTTCATATCCCAATCCCCGATTGTCTTCAGAAACCTTAGAACGCCGACCTTTTCTTCACCATTCTACTCTATTCACAAGCCCCAAATCCACCTCCATAACGCGCTCTTCTCCGTGGACCTTTCAAAGGATGACAAGCCTCTCTCCAATGATCCTCTATCGCAGTCGGATCCTGCCGCGACTGACTACAAGGAGAACGTAGAGGAGAAGTTCGACCGGAGGCGTTTGGACGAGCGATTAGCCGTGATGAATACAGGGATCTACGAGTGCCGATCGTGCGGTTACCGCTACGACGAGGCTGTTGGCGATCCTTCGTACCCGATCCCGCCTGGTTTTCGATTCGAGAAGCTTCCGGAGGACTGGCGGTGCTCGACTTGCGGAGCTGCGAAGTCTTTCTTCGAGAGCAAGAGCGTGGAGATTGCAGGATTTGAGCAGAACCAAAATTTTGGGTTTGGGGCGAACACGCTCACCGGAGGCCAGAAAGCCTTGCTGATATATGGGAGCCTGCTACTGGCATTTGCTCTCTTTCTCTCTGGATACTTCTTGCAATGAGGTTTGGTAAGGATGGAGAGAACTTTTATGTATGCTTTTTCTAGCATATGCTTTCATTGACTGTATTTCTATTCGTAAATGAGGTTGCTTGTAAATAGAGACCAGATTGGAGAGAACATATTTAATGATTGCAGGGTAGAATCTCTTTTGTTTTTGTACTATTTTCTTCTGTCTATGGTTTGTTTTCTGTTTATATGCATGAGAAATTACAATTAAAGACCATTTGCATACATATCATAAAATAAATCAGACTATATGCAGATTAGGATGATATGGTTGTAGAAAATCATCATTTTATTGATTTTTAAATGTTTAACTGACTCTTCTAAACTATGCAATATTAGATTCAAATTTATATATGGATGATACCTAGTTTTACTTGCAAGCAATCTCTTCGGCAACAACTTGAGAACAAAGAGAGATAAGAGTTAGTATGGAGAGTGAGAGAAATAGTGAGAGAGATAGTTATATAAAATATGTTAAAAAAAATGGCAAGAGAATATATAATATCCAAATGATTCAAAATATCTCTTCATTCATTATTTATATGATTTATAGGAGGTACAAGAAGGGCTACACTAAAATATGTAGAAAAGTATAATACTCAATGTGACTCATCACTAATTGTATTTTAAATGTGACTTGACTTACAAACTTCCATGTGTCTCTCTGCATCTAATGTGGCCCACAATTCATGGTAGGTCTGCTGGGCTAGTCTCCAAGAACGAGGGTGTTGGGCGTCTCTTCAAGAAATGGCATCTGGGAGAAGTTGGTGTAGTGCAAAGCCTCTGAATCCGACAAATAATTCCTAGGGGTAGTGTATGGACGTTTGAGCGTGAGAGCCAACTCCCTTCGGCGAGCTGCTGATTGTTTGAGTCTGGAAGGTCTTAGTTTTGAACTCAATAGGTGTGCAATGGCGACAAATATTAGGCCTGATGTGATGGGATTGTAATAAGGCTTTAACTTGGTGAAAATTTAGGGTACGTTTGGGACGGCTGCAGCTGTTCGTAAAGCATGTTGTGAAGTTGTTGTACATAATGCTGAGTTTTGAAGTTTCTTTATAGAAATCAATATATTTTGTATGGTAAGTATAACTGTCGAGCTACTACGCTGTAGCTGTTTGAGAACAAATTACATTTTTATCCTTATATATATTGAAATGAAAGAAAATTGATTAAATGTCCAATTTTTTTTTTTAATTTATGTGATAAACCTATCAATTCTAAATGAAAGCCATAGTGAATGAAGATCAAACGAAGGGCAATAACAAAGCTTGGGAAGGTCAAGTATCCTATAGTAGCTTATGCAAGGAATGCAATCCACCCAGTAATTGTGAATGGTGCTGGCTTGCTACAGGTACGTCTTCGACACTTGCATCGGCCTTCGAGTCGAAGTGGTGCTCCTCATCTGACATTTATTTTCTCCCCTGATCTCACCTCTCCGACGGGTCTTAAGAAGACAAAGAGGAGCGTTACCTTTGAGCGATGACAAAGCGTGAGAAATTCGATGGAAGAAGCCACATCGTTAGGTTCCTTTAGAGCAACTCAATCGGAACTAGGGCTCCCAACACCAGCACGGACTCCCATGAAACTCGGCGAGTTTCCCTTCCCGTTGAGCATCATCGAGTTTCCTGATAAACAAGAAAAGTACGAGACGGATCGTTGGAGGAGAAAAAGCGGAGCAGAAGAAAAATGATGATTTACGGATCGTTGGGGTAGCGGAACGAAGAAAGGACACATGATGACATTTACGACATTTTTGTCCCTGGAAATTGTGCGAAGCAGCGGACCGCGGGAGGCACCAAGAGGTTGCAGAAAGCAACCACGACCCGCGGAAATTTTTCTGTCTCGGTTCTGCCGCAATGACCCAAACAAACATTTAACAATATTTTATAAAGCAAACCGGCCATGAAGTCGTCCCAAATGCTATGCGGAGAGCCTTAACTGTCCAAAGAACCAGCGACGTTCCACTAACTCCAAGGCTCCAAGCATTATTTTATAAGAGCACTAGTTTATGCTGCTATCAAATCTTGGCAATGGGGGAGATACAAATGGGCCTTCAAGTAAAAAATGAATTTTTGTCAGCAGCGATTAATTGATTTCGCTCTTCCATATATATATACTACAAAAATTACCATTATATTGCAATGTTGATCACGTAATCATTTGATAATTAGCGCTAAATCTATAAATTCGAGGATATATAGATATTCTAAGTTTCAAAAGATGCATTTGAAAAGATGATGAAGGAGATGTATGATAATGGGCTCATTAAACTGCGCCATAGCCTTTTCTCTAGTTCTATCGTTCTAGTTAAAAGAAAATGATGAAACTTAGCAGTTTGTGCGTATTAAATGGCCTTAAATTCTATAACCATCGAACTAAAACGTTGCATTCTAACAAATGATAAACTCTTGGACTACATAGTGCAATGCTTTTTTTTCTGAAATTTGGATGTGCATTTCGGTTATCCTTAAGGGGCTGTTTGGTTGACTGAATTAGGAGTGTAAATGAAATCAAATACATGTATTTACTAAATAGGGTTGTTTGGTTAATTTTGAGCGGAACAAAAGAAAATTATACGATGCATTAGGCGTGTAATAGGGGGGTTGTTTTGCGTGAATTAGAAACCCGCTTATATCGAGCGGGTTGTAAATTCGCTCGACGAAGATTTACCAAGGCGTCGTTGCTGTTCGGCTTCAGTGCTTCGCAGGTGGTGTAAGAATGCACGAGAGGCTTCTTCGGCTGCTTCTTTCTCCTTAGACTTCGCGCGACGACGTTCCTTTGCCTGTCCGATCGGAAGTTGCATCATTTCCATCTACGTGATAGCGATCGCCATTGGCTGCTGCCGACCATCCTCTACTCGGAACTATCGCCGTCTAGCACTAGAACTATCGCCGTCGAGCAGCTTCTGAGACGGAGCACTGGGTCGGCCGATTTGGATGACTCTGCACCGTCAAATGACGGTAAGTCAAGGAGATCATTATTTTCCGAGGCACCCAGCGATCCTAAGAAGAATAACAGAATGTATCCAACCTTGTTCTACGCCGCTTGTACAGCAGAAGGCCTCGTTAGCTGCGGCCTCACGCACATGGCCGTCACTCCCCTTGATCTTGTCAAGTGCAATATGCTGGTATGCCTATTCGTGCTCAAGATCGATTAATGTGGAATCTCGAGTTCTGGAATGATTTCCTATGATATCGTTTTTTATTTTATGTAGGATTGTTTGACTTTTGTGTTTTGAAAAACATAATCTAAAATTTCAAGTTTCTTCGAGATTATTTGTCTCCGACTATCGTTACTTTGCTTTTCTAGATTTCTTGCTACATTGATGCTTTTTTCGAATGAAATTTTTAACTTTCCTTGGAGGTAATTTATCTTTGAATCTTATCCCTGTTTTGCTTCATTTTTAGATTCGTTGCTATGTTCGCCTCATTAATTTAGTGCTGGGATTTAGAACTACTAGTGGTTGTTGTGATCGAAACAGTTCAACACATTCCAACTGAGAGAATCTATTCCTCTCTTACAGATTGATTGGTTTGGTTCACTTACACCTGATTTCTGTGAATTCGGTTGTGAGCTTAATCTTCTTTGGCCCTTGGTGAATGGTTATATTGAGGATAAGGCATTTTACGATATTTTGTTGTCTTTTGTTCTCTGCTAATGAAAATTTTGGTTAAGATTATTGAGGGTGATTTAAGTTGTATTATTCTCTTGTTATCTTCTGGTTGTAGTAACATTTGGGCGCTATATTCTACTTCTTAAAGTAATTTTTTGATACAAAATTTTTTTAGACAAAATTTTATGTAGTAAGAAGCTGTTTTAGAAAGCAATTTAAAAGTTGTCCCAAATGAAGATTTAAATTTTGTTTGGGATGATTTTTGTAATGCTTCTTAAAACAACTTTTCAGTGTAAATGTAAAAATTAAAAATTTTAAACTGAAAAGTTGTTTTAAGAGGCAATAAGAAAGTCATCCCAAATGAAGTCTTAGTCATCATAATTAATTAGTTAAACTCAGGCCAAATTAGAGGTGACAAAATAAAATATTACAAAATAAACGTTTTTACTTTACTATGATTCTACCTATCCAAACAAGCGAAATAATTCTCCTGCGTTTATTTTGCAGACAATCAAACAGGCTCAAAGTATTCGGAATGCACTGCATTTACTTTACATTGCATTTAATTTACACTGCATTTTCTTTTCAGACAACCAAACAGCCCCCTAAGTCCAAATGAACTGGAAGGATATTCATAAAATGACTTTTAGTATTTATGATGGCCATTTTGAGTTCGAAGTGGTGCCATTTGTGATTTTAAATGCTCTTTTAATGTTTCAAGCTTTGATGAACCTAATTTATTTCCTCTATCTTCGAATATTTGTGATAGTTTTTATGACAATATTTTGATTTATAACGCATTAGTAAATAAGAAAATGGATTGAGGGCTCTTCAGTGCCCTATCGTTAATCAATTGTTTATTAAATTCAGAAAATGCATTATTTGCGACAAGGAGGAATATTTTGGCCGTGTGGTCATAGCCAGTAAGTGTGCTGATTGATTCAGAGAGAAAGCTTGCCACAGTGGTGGCCAACACCTTCTTCTGTTAGGCTGTTGCAAGGCTTTCTTGGTTTGATAGGGCATTTTTACCGTTTCAGTGCATGCTCCATTTTTTTTGTTAACAGCTTTAACAAATTTGCTTAAACATGACGCATTTATGTAGGATTCACCAGCCAATTAGGCATTTAAGGCTTTGAAATTAGCTATAGTTAAGCACCTATTTTAGGCTTCTCTAAGGAGTTTGTGGTAGAAACAGATGCATCCAATATCAGCATTGGTGCAGTGCTAATGCAAAACGACCATCCCATTCCATATTTTAGTAAGATGTCACTGAAAAAATGAGCACTTCTTCGGGTCACATAAAGAATTATTATCTGTTACTGAATGGTTGTTCTGGTGATGCCAATATGTGTTTCGAATAACCTTTACAATTAGATTAAATCATCGAATTTAGTTTATCCAGACACCAGCTCAATAGTTCTTCGTAAGAAAACTGCTGGGAAAATATAATTTTGCTGCTGTTCCTTGTCTAGAATGTTTGAGCAAGCAGTGACAACACATGTTCAAAATTCAGCATATGGTTCTTTATTATGTCTAGTTTGGG